ATGTGTGGAGACACATTAATTTTTAAAAATAAAAAATGTAAATATTTTAAAATAATTTAATTTTTTTTAATCCGTTGAAAAGGAGAGGTAATTAGAAGTACAGACACTGATAATTATTTAACATTACAAGTATAACGATTACTCAAAAATCAACCTGAAAAGCGCGTGAAGCATCGTCCCTGAGCGAGGAGCGTAGACATGCGGTATGAGACCATATCCAAAACTCTCTGTCAAAAACTATCTCCTTTGTTTTGGGCCCAGAAATAAAAAAGTCTTTCGATTATTAAAAATTAGGGAAAATGGCAGGTAAAGACCTTAAAATATACAAAATTATCATTTGAGTTCTTGAATTCATATAATTCCTATAAAGGACCCAGTCCCAAATAGAAATTATGAAATGTAGGTTAAAATATAAAAACACCCTTTTGCTTCTAAGAATAAGAGAGAAACGAAAAGGTCTGTACTGGCTAAAGAAAAAGATAGATTCTGTGAAAGAAGAGAATCTCATCAGAGCAAAACGAAATCCTGATGATTCAAAAAAGCCTACTGGATTTCTGAAAAAATGAAAGTAGGTGGAAAAACAAGCCTCACGTAGTCACGTTGCAGCTGAAGCTGGTGTAAATTGCAACTTGCAAAGTGAGATTTTTGTCTGATTGTCACAATATTATTAACTGACAAGTTTTCTTTGAAGAACTGGATTTTTTTCAATCACAAGACAAGATTTCCTATTTTATGTAAGGTTTGTAATGATTATTTATCATAAATTATGTTGATTTTTCTTTATTGAGTGTGGGTGTATTGATCTCGTTGAAAGTGAAAAGAGTTATTTTACCCATTAGTTCAGCTTAAAAATCATTGGCCACAATACTCTAAATTAACTTGAATACATATTCTTTCAATGCCAACAAAAATAAATAGAAGTCGTGTTGGCGAAAAAATTGGATTAAAATATACTACCTCTAATCTTATTTATAAGAGCTAGTTGACTAATTTGAAGATATTAAAGAAAGAAGTTAAGTTAGTTATTTATAATAAATAGGTGTTGTCCTTCTTAAAATATCCTTACTAATCAAGTATATTGGTTAAAACTACTATTATTAGAAAGACTATATTGAAACAAATACATAAATATGAGAGACAAAGTGAATTAGGATCTTATATTTAGGACCAAAATAAAAGTCAAACAAAATCTTATATTAAGGACCGGAGGTAGTATGTTCTTTTGTTTCTCAGAGGCTTAGTATACTGTGATAGTAACAAATGTTGGTAATTTTAGTAGAAATCATTAGAGTTCTATAGAATCTGTTTCACTATTTATGATTTTCTCGCTCTTATATATAAGCTGATTTTTAGAGATGATTTCAGAGTAGACAAACAACGAATATTTGTTTATGAGATTGATATTGCAAGATGATTTGAACTCAAGACTTCTTGAAAAGTTGTGGCCATAATTGTTTGTCATAGCTAGAAGATTTATGTGCCGCTTAACTGTAAATTTTAATGGTCAGATTTAGTGCTTGAGTTCATACTACCTACTAGATAGGGATGTTCATGAAGCTCAGTTGGCCACTATATGCCCACCCAAGCCTGCAAAAAAATGCCCAACCCGTCCTAAAAAAAAGGATCCAAAAGAACTATTGGGCATGTTTGGGCTGAGCAAATTGTTGGGTAGGGCTAGGTATTGGGCGGTATGCTGCCTTGTCCATTTAGCCCTGCCTGCAAAAATATATATAATTTTATTTTTTATATATTTTATTTGCCTTGTATTTATTTTCTGAATCAAACATGCTGTTGTATCAATATTCAGTGTTCATTATACTTATTTATTTTTGAATGATTTTGAGAGTTAGAAACTAGAAAAACAATTAAATTTAATAAAATATACAAACAACATTTTTTTTTTGTCATAGTCCACTCCTCCTAGCTATTACAAAAAGTTGTTTCATAGTATATTAATTAGTAATAACAAAATTAAGGCCAAGTTGCCATTTTAATATAAAGTTACATTAGATTATTTAGAGGGATATAAATAATTAGTTAATTAATATAGTATGTTAACTTGTTAGGCATGGAAGCCCGCCCTGCCCAGCCTGTATTTGCTCAGCCTGAACTTAGTAGGGCTTTTCATGGACAGGACTAAGCAACGGGCTGTATTTTCCAACCCGTTCATTCTTTGGGCTGGGTATTGGGCAAAGGTTTGCTCCCTGCCCAGTCCTGCCTATGTGTAGCCCTACTACTAGATATAGTTGTCAATGATTATATATTGAATGTTTTGCAGGACTCGGTAAGTGATTTGCTTAGTTGAATGCAGAGGTGCATTTGTCACTGAATCTTACAAAAAATGGTTGCTGTCAAAGTACCTCTGGTTTCTTGTAATTTTGCTTACCAAACTTGTTATTTAGCTTATCACTTTTTTTATTTGGTTTATCACTCTTGTCATTTGGTAGTGAAATGTGGAAATAATGACAACTTTTTATAAAATTTAGTTTCATGAAAAACTCAATCACAAAATTGTTAATTCGCTTGTTACTCTTGTCATTTTGCTTACTGTTCTTGTTATTTGGCAGTAAAATATAAAAATAATGGTGACTTTCCAGCAAACTTAATTTTATGAGAAACTTAATTACAGGATTGTTATTTCATTTACCAAATTTGTTATTTGGCTCACCACTCTTGTTATTTGGCAGTGAAATATAAAAATAATGACAGCTTTTCATGAAACTTAATTTCATTAGAAACACAGTCACATAATTATTATTTCGCTTACCAAACTTGTTATTTAGCTTACTATTCTTGTCATTTGGCAGTGAAATATGGAAATAATAACAGCTTTTCATGAAACTTAATTTCATTAGAAACACAGTTACAACTTTTCATGAAATTTAATTTTATAAAAATTTAATCACAGAATTGTTATTTTGCTTACCAAACTTGTCATTTGGCTCACCACTCTTGTCATTTGGCAGTGAAATGTGAAAATAATAACAAATTTTAATGAAACTTAATTTCATTAAAAACAAAGTTACAGAATTATTATTTTACTTACCAAATTTGTTATTTGGTTTACTATTCTTGTCATTTGACAGTGAAATGTGAAAATAATGATAGCTTTTCTATGAAACTTAATTTTATAGAAATTCAATCACAAAATTATTATTTTACTTACCAAACTTGTTATTAACAATTTAGTCACAAGTTTTCAAGAAGTCTTGAGTTCAAATCATCTTGCAATATCAATCTCATGAACAGATATTCTTTGTCTGTCTATTCTGAAATCATCTCTAAGAATAAGCTTATATATGAGAGCGAGAAAATCATAAATAGCAAAACAGATTCTATAGAACTCTAATGATTTCTATTGAAATTACCAACGTTTGTTATTGTCACAGTATATTAAGCCTCCGAGAAACAAAAGAACATATATTTTAATCCAAATTTTTTGCCAACACAACTTCCATTTATTTTTGTTGGCATTAAAAGAATATGTATTCAGGTTAGTTTAGGGTGTTGTGGCCAAAAATTTTTAAACTGAACTAAATGGGTAAAATAACTTTTTTATTTTCAAGGAGATCAATACACCCACATACACAAATAAAGAGAAATCAACATAACTTATGATAAGCAACCATTACAAGCCTTACATAGGAGAGGAAATCTTGTCCTGTGATTGAAAAAAATTCTAGTTCCTCAAAGAAAACTCGCTAGTTAATGCTATCATGACAATCAGACAAAAATCTCACTTTGCAAGTTGCAATTTACACCAGCTTCAACTGCATCACGAGGCTTGTTTTTCTGCCTACTTTCATTTTTCTGAAAATCCAGTAGGCTTTTTTGAATAATCAAGATTTCGTTTTGCTCTGATGGGATTCTCTTCTTTCATGGGATCTATCTTTTCTTTCACCGTATAGACCTTTTTGTTTCTCTCTTATTCTTTAAATCAGAAGGGTATTTTTGTATTTTAACCAACGTTTCATAATTTCTATTTGGGATCGGGGTCCTTGAGAGGAATTATATGAATTCAAGAACCCAAATGATAATTTTGTATATTCCAAAGTCTTTGTCATTTTTCCTAAAAATTATTACAAGTTAAAAAAATGCTTTGAATTATAGTTTTCATTTATAAAATATAACATTTCTAAATTAAAATGATTTTATTTCCAGTTATCACATTCATGTCTATTAAAAGAAATGCTTCTAGTTAATGTGTTGATTGAATTATCTGCATCCATGCTCATATAGTAAGTTGTTCATTTACAAATTACAAGTCTATTAAAAAATGGTGAAACGCAAAATAATGTGCTTACACCCATTTTAACTGAACAAATTAATAGTTAAATTTTACTTAAGCTCAATAATCGTAGGATTGATAGAAATTAATAATAAAAATTCATTATTATGGTAATTTCACTAAAATTTAAATATAATTCAAACAGAGAATATTTTAAAATATTTTACTTTTGATAAAAATGTTATTTTCTTTAAGCGTTTCAATTTTCAAATTTGATTGAATTGATTTCTTTTAGAGATGAATGAATAGATATGTACTTATTTTTATGATAATTCGATGTTAAGTTATGCTTAATTATTATTTAGTTTAACTGTAGATAGTTTTCTCGCTGTAACTTTTTTTATTGACATATGAGTTTATGTGCTTTGGTTATAATTATACGTATGTGTCATGAAAAATAAAAGTTGTGTATTTCTAAAATTTGTGCATATTTTTAGATAAAAAAATTGTGTAATTTTTTTTATATATGCAAAATAAAAATTTTGGTCTAAATTATGATGATTTAATTTAGAACAAATTAAAAAAAAAAAAAACGCTTCTTCTCTTCAAGGAAAAAGATTTCTTCAGAACCCTTCCTTGCGCTTTCGGTCTCTTTCGCTTTGGTCTCTCCTGTTAGGGTATATACCTTTGCGGATCGGTGGAGCAACAACCTACCTGCAAGTTTAGAATTTCGAGATTTTTCGGTCAGTGATCAACTGGTAGTTGCCAGAAGATGAAGATTTTCGTGAAGACTCTAAAAGGCACCCACTTCGAAATTGAAGTGAAGCCTGAAGACACGGTTCGCCTACTTCTTTTACTGTCAATCTAATATCAATTAATGTTTTAATTTTTTTTTCTATATCGCAAATTCGGGATTTCCTTATCGATTGTTTCAGAGGTCTTGGGTCATCGGGTGGGGGAAACCTCTTAAATTGGGTGATAATTAGGGTTTTAATTTTACTCCTGTTATGATAATTTCGCTGGTTTCGATCGGGTATTTCAGTCGTTGTTGCATTTAATGCGCGATTAGAAACTCCCCATATAAATATTAGTCAGATCATTGTTGAATTTGGACTTGAAATGGAATTACTCTTTGTTTGGGAGCTATTGCTCTCGGATGAATGAAATATAATAGAGTTGGAAACTTCGAACACTCAATGACTGGTTTGCTCTTTAAGCTGCTTCACTTGTTTAGCCATCTTACGGAGTACTGACATGATAGTAGACCTGCATAGTGTGTATGGACACTGCACTAGTCTATTTCTTAATGGGAAATCATTTCTGGATAGTTTAGTGATATTGACACATGATAACGAGTAGGTCTGGCACTTTTAAGGCCTTGCGTCAGGATAATTTCAGACCAGTTTGTGCTGATATGAAGTGTAGTCAATATGTATGATCTAAAATTTAACGTGTGTGTATCAAACTCATCTGGAATCATGGTGTTTTAAAGTTATTTTTTGAAGTGTGGTTATTTAAAATTTAAACTTTAAAGCTCCTTTATTCTCTCCATTAGTAAGTAACAGTTTCTGTCTCTTACTATTTGACGCAGATTTCTGACTGCTGAATTTAAGTAAAGATGTCAGACCATCTAAAGGAAGAAAAATGCATATCTGTCCAAAAATTCATCTCTTTCTTATGTGTTGCATGATTGTCTCTTTGTGAATCCTCTACCTTGTTATTTTGCATCTGAGTTATCATATTTAGTCTTCTAGATAGATTATCGGTTGTCAATATTCTTTTCAGCTTACTGAAGTGAAGAAAAATATAGAAACTGTTCAAGGTGCGGATGTCTATCCGGCTGCACAACAGATGCTTATCTATCAAGGGAAGGTTCTCAAAGATGGCACCACCTTGGAGGAAAATAAAGTAGTTGAAAATAGTTTTATTGTAGTTATGCTTTCTAAGGTAAAATTTTCTTGTTCATGAATATAATCTGCCTGGTCTTTGATATCTCGAACATTATTATTTGGTTGAATGCGTTGTTGATTTTTGATTTTTCAATGGAATCTGGGATGACAATAGTAGCATAATAAGTTGTCAAGGTCTATGATGAAATTACCTGTTTTTGCAATTCATTATGAGTTCTGCCAGCTGCCACCCAGCCCACTGACAGATTCAGACAATAAGTCCCTCTATTACAGTGGCAAGTAGTTTGTGCTCAAGGGTTAGCAGACTTTCAATCAGGGAAGCTGGGAATGATGAGACTTTAGGGAGATAAATGTTTGAGGCACCCACGAATTTGAGACTTTGGGTACTTTTTTTTTTTTTTTTCCCCCCGTGTGGTTTGTAGGAAGATCTCATCCATGCGCAAAAAATTTATTAAAAGGATTTTATTTTACTGTGTCCTTTACCTGAGGTGCCTGTGAATACAATTTGGGCAAATCAGGTTGCGAGTGTGCCTGGCTTCATGACTAAATGTTAAAATAAATGATGAAGAAAAGATTAGCAACACCTTGGTAGAGTGTGTGATGGGGGCAACTTAATAGTCATTGATACTTGAGAAGGCAAGGGGAGCCTATATAAAAGTGACTGTTAGTTGTATGAGAGTTCATTACAACGTAAGGTCTTAGTGGGAATTTCTGTGTTCAGTGGGGTTGTTGTTGTTTATGCTGAGTCTTTTTGCTTGCTACCGTTTCAAAATTTTTCCATGTTCATCTGTTTTTTTTCCCTCAAGGCTTTGCTTAAATAACCTTAAGCTATTGTAATCTAAAAGTGAGTTTTGTTGCTGGCTAGAACTCTTGTGTCTTCCTTTCTTTTTCTTGGTTATTTAGAATATGTTTGTTGTTCTTCAATGTTTTTATTGCAATCACTTTCTAGCTTTTTTTAGGTGACAATCACTTTCTAACTTTCTTAAACAACTATATTTATCTCTTTAAGGCTGTGGTTGCAAATGTTGAGAGTTGAAGGCCTTCCACTTAACACTTCTCTTCCAGACTGACATAACATGGATTGCTTTTTACGAGATCAACCAATAATATCCCATTCTTGTTCACACAGCCCCCCCTAAAAAAAAAACAAAAACTCGACCCACCAAACAAATACCGTGCTAATTTTTACAACTTAAAATTCTAATCAGTGTTTATAATTATGCTAGAGCAAAAGTTCACCTGGTGAGGGTTCTACTACTTCAGCTGCACCTTCAACCAAGGTGAGAATAATTTTCCCAATACTACATTATTTTCACTCTTTTCATGGGGCTTCTTCCTCTGCATATGTAGTACATTTGATATCTTTTTATAATTGCGAATTTATAAATAACTGAGAGATGTTTTAAAATCTGGTCACAGGTTGCAAATACATTCTGGTGATAGTTCTTGAATTGTAAATTTTTGTCTTGTTTTGATTAAATTGGATGTTAACCAAGAAGATCGATGTTGAGATTACCTGTGATGTTATCTTTATGTGGTACTGGTATTTAGCTAACTAAAATACTATCTATTAATGGTATATCTAAACTGCACATGCTACCAATGCGATAGGTATTCCCTTTTTTGAGTATTGAAATTAATACCTATTGATTACATGTTCAATGCAGACCCCAGCAACAAGTGCTGCTCCCACCTCCACTTCTGTTTCAAGTTCAGCCACACCTCAAACTCCTGCTGCAGCGTGAGTACCTGACATGGTGACACTTTAATTCCATTTTTTTTTTTGACATGAATGTGTGAGGAAAAAAAAAATCAATTTGGCAGGCCTGCTCCTTCTCCTTCTCCGGCACCTGCTCCTGCCCCTGCCCCTGCCCCTGCCCCTGCCCCTTCAGGCACTGCTGGGTAAGTTCTAGTGTTTGTGGTGTTTAAACATGGATCTTACAGTTTTGTCTATCAGTGTTTGCAATTTGAAAATGCAGCAATACTTGCTGTCTCTTTCCTAATTCGACAAGTTTGTCTCAAAATAAGTATTAAAAAGAATGAATCACATCAACTGTCTCTTAGAAAGGAATTTTGTGAAGGCAGGTCAGAGTCTGATATCTATGGACAGGCAGCATCTAACCTTGTAGCTGGAAGCAACTTGGAGGAAATGATTCAACAAATTCTTGATATGGGTGGGGGGAGCTGGGATAGGGATACCGTAGTCCGTGCTCTACGTGCTGCTTACAATAATCCTGAGAGAGCCGTTGAGTATTTGTACACAGTATGTAAATAATATCTGTTTTTGTTTACTTTGATTACTTGACCTGTTCATTTCAATTTCTGGTTTAGATTTTTCCCCATTGTCAGTTTTGGGTGAAAGAGTTGCCACTTTGTGATGAGTGCTACAAATTATTAAGCATATATTACAAATATAAGTTTGCGTGATCAAACCAGTTATGAGTGGCAGTATATGCTTAGATGATACTGATCACTTCACTGCACGGCTTACTTAACTTTGAAATTAGGGCTGACTATTGTTCCTCACAATTTACTTTAAGCCATTCTTGTTTATATAACAATCATTCATCAACATTAGGGTATCCCAGAGCAAGCTGAAGCCCCTCCTGCAGCTCGAGTGCCTGCAAGTCCACAAGCTGCAGATCCCCCAGCACCAGCTTCACAAGCTGCACAGCCAGCACCTGCTGCTCCTCCTCCTACAAGTGGACCAAATGCTAATCCTCTAGACCTTTTTCCCCAGGTAGACATTGGCACATTGTAACATGTCATTTAAAAAGAATTATTGCGGCCCGGTTTGCTTACTATATTTAACAGGGCCTCCCCAATGTTGGTTCTGGTGCTGCTGGTGCTGGCACACTAGATTTTCTGCGCAATAGTCAGCAGGTATTTTACCTTTCCCTTTCTCGTATCTGCACCCCATATTGATCTTATGACTCTAGGCATGTCTGTCCTGGATTCTATAATTTTGTGATTTCTGTTTCAGTTCCAAGCCTTGCGAGCTATGGTGCAGGCAAATCCACAAATACTCCAGGTATTCTACAGAAGTACATTTCTTAATTCTCTTTTTCTTAGCTTGCTGAATTTCCTCCTGTTGTATTGCAGCCCATGCTTCAAGAACTTGGGAAGCAAAATCCTCATCTTATGAGATTGATTCAAGAGCACCAGACTGACTTCCTTCGCCTGATAAATGAACCAGTGGAAGGTGGTGAGGGGTGAGGGGTCTTAACCTCTTCTCTGCTAGATTTGATTCTTTTGGCTTACACAATTGGTGTTAATTTTGGTACTTACGCTCTAGGAACATATTAGGGCAGCTGGCTGCTGCCATGCCACAACAAATAGCCGTCACCCCTGAGGAGCGACAAGCAATTGAACGAGTAAGTTTGACTTTTTAACCACGCGATGCATTGAATGATAGATTGTTTATGTCTGTTTCAATAGAATTATCCTCATTTAGAATTGCCATCTTTTCATGTCCTGAGTACTCAGCAATACCAATCTTGAAAAGTTGCTTCTTCGTTTTTGGTTTTTTGGCATTATTTCCGCTGCCAAAAATCAAAGGATTTAGAGTGTTTTTCTTTTTGGCGCACATACGCACCTGTTGAAATATAATCATCTTGTTGGCCAAAAAGGACGAATCAGTCCGGGTGGTCAAACCTGAACTCGTTTCTTTCAATCATGCATGGAGTCTGTTATAAAAATTGCTCGTTTGTTAATACAGAATTGAATAATACATAACTAATGCTTTGATAACATTGTCCTATATTAATTTTAAACTTCCAACGGTTGTGATGTGATTTATCTGTATCATCTCCCAGCTTGAAGCAATGGGTTTTGATCGTGCACTCGTGTTGGAGGTATATTTTGCCTGCAACAAAAATGAGGAGCTGGCTGCCAACTACCTTTTAGATCACATGCATGAGTTTGAGGAGTGATCGGTTCTTGGCAGTTGCCCATCATTTCTTTTTATTTTTTATTTTCTTCATGCGCTTATAATGTTTAATGAGGTCGCCGTTGATAAATATTGCATGTCTGGAGTGGACGAGGGATTTTTTTTTGGGTTTAAATTTAAATTTCCTTAGCATTATAGCACTTGTATTCCCCATTTCCTCCCATTCTAGTATTCTTCACGACATTAATTTAAATGGATATTTGTCCTGTAAGTTGTTTTATTTTGCATCAATATTCCCATATATGCTGCTTGTGCTTAAGCTCAGTCTTGGACACTGGAAATTATCCAAATTTAAAGCTTCCGCGGCGGGGCCTTTTTATTTTTGGGGGGGGGGGGGGTTCTTAACCCAAAGAATGTCTTGGAATATCACCCAAAACTAAGGTACTGTTTGAGAGTAATGGAGAGGAAGGGGGGGAGAAAAAATTTTGATGAGTTCTATTTGAAAAATTGGAAAAATGAGATTTCAGAATTTTAATTAATGTAAAAGAGTAAAAGTAATGTAAAAAGAGATAATAAAAATTAACTAAGTTTTTAATTTTTTAAATTGAGTTTATTAAAAAAAATTATCCCCTTTTCTTTCATTTCCAAAAAACATAAAATGACTAAATGTGAAAGGGAGATCGGTCAATATGCATGAGTTGGGGGGGGTACTTTTTTTTTTGGGGTACGATAGTAGTTTGGGTGAGTTGCATTTCGGAGATTTAGAGGGTGTTTGGTAATTTTAAAAGTGCTTCTAAGAAGCACTTTTCTGTAAAACGAGGTAACTTCTTCTACATATTTATTTCGTAAACTGTAAAAGCACTTTTGAAACCATGGTTTGGTTTCCATCCAAACACTTTTTTACTTGGGTCAGGACTCACGAAATGTTTTCGGATTTAAATAGTATTTACAAAGTTATTTATTAGTCCATCACTAACAAGATCTTCAAATCAAAGTCATGATTCATTGGGCATGAAGAGGCCTTGGTAGCATCTAGAACGGCTGCAAAATGCTTCAGCTCAGTGTTATGGGGACCACACGGAGGCCCAATTATGATCTTAAAATTACAGTCTCATACAGTCTCAAATCTTAGAAGTGTTAAAACAATAACATGTTGAGGGACCATACTGATCTTGTATGAACAAACCGGCCAGCGTGCTGTTGAGGTGACTCATACCAACACTAGTGCCCAAGTGACCCCCAAAAGCAGAATGAACTTGGTCAAATTTCTTGATAACTTGCCGACTTTAATATGTTTTTGTTGAAAAGTAGCTTCATGGGTTTGTGAAAATTAAAAGCGCAAAGGGAAAAGAGAAAAGACCCACACAGATGGCAGGAGCAGAATTGGATCGTACGTGATGCATGCTTCCTCTCTCTCTCTCTCTCTCTCTCTGCAACAAATCTCCCAATCTTCCCTTTCTGCTTGAAACGTAACTTTCGATAGCGAAGCCTCAATTGAAAAAACGAACTTCCTCACTGCCAATGCCCACTGCTATGAATCAGTTACAGAATAAGCAGAAACCTTCTCTTTTGCCTTGTCTTGTGTTGTTATTTAGAACCCTTCATCCTTCTCCCCCGTTCATACCCTTCCACTTTGCACTCGCATTTCAGATTCGTTGATCATGACATCTCAATCATGTAATTGTAACTAAATGTGGCTTCTCATCCCTTGCATCACAGAACCCGTAATGAAGCAAATCCCTTAAAACAAGACACGTGGGATTGGGGCCAATTCTACCGGTAAATCTCAAAACAAGCTAGCTACCCGTGATCAAGTATGTTGTTTGGTTACGTATTAATTAAAGAAAAAAAATATTTAGCGATCACTTACTTACCCACCCTATGTTTGGGTGTGAAAAATTAGAAAGAAAAGAATACTAGGAATGAAAACTGCAAAAAACAATAAATTAATTTACCATTTTTAAAAGTTTTTCTTCCTAGTATTCCCTCTCCCTTATTTTCTTCCCTCCATCCAAACACAGCTTTAGTGACATTCACATATAGTATTTAGAAGATTCATCTGTGTACAAGGTTAATGGTTAGCTATATAGTATATCCATGTGATTATCAAATATTTAACAAGATATTTCAAAAAATATTACTCATCCGGTCCTTAATATAGGACTCAATTCTTGAGTTGGTTTTGGTCCTAAATATAAGACCCATTTCTCATATTTATCAATTTTCTCTAAATTACCCCTATAGATACTCCCTCAACCATAATCAAATAGAAAAGGGAGAGTGAGTATTAAAAAAGATGATTATGGTATTTTAAGAAAAATATGTCACTTTTTTTATAATTAACTAACTTACCTAATTTCCTTAATCTAATCAAATTAGTTAAATGGGTCTTATATTAAGGACCGGAGGAGTAATAATTAATAATGCTATAATACTATTGTATGACCAACTCAACTCCTATCATTAACTAATTCTTTGGCAAGGGGTGGGCGTGTGTGTGTTTTGTCTCTATTATTATTGATCTCTATTACCACCAAATGATTAATTGTTTCTTATACTACACCAATGATTGGCGATGGATTATTCTTACAAAATTCTAATATAACCTGTTACTATTAAAAATATGAATATATATTGTAAATGTTCTTTACAAATTATCATATTCCAAGAGTCATTACAAGATTTTTCTTCTTTTCCAATGTTGAGAAGATAATTGTTCTACTATTGCTTTTCTTTCAAACATTTTTCTTTGTTAGAAATAAAATTAATATAACCACTATTGGAAAAAATATCAAAATTGAATATTATAAGTTATTCAATTATTTTCTTAAAAAAAAGGAAATTCTAGGAAATTAAGAGTCCGTTAGAATTTATAATTCCATCTCCATGGCTTATTCCAAAGAAAAGAATGAAGCTCCATATAATTTTTTTTGGGGGTTCACTTTCATTTTATCCATTTTCATTCTTATGCTATTTTTATTCTACCACACATTTCAATAGTTCATTAACACAAAAAACAGACAAACCGTACACACGCACACACTGTCCTCTCAGAGAATTCTATCTGAATTTCTCTTCTTTCGTGAGTAAAATCAAATCCAAATCAAACATGATATGTATCATCAACCAAAATGGCACTTTCTACTATTTCCTACGCATCATAATAATTACGAAAGGAAGTTGAGTATGTGACATAAGATGATTCCTGTTTCAGTTGATCGACCAGTTTAATTATAAATTCCTCTCTTTCTCTTCATCTTTCACTTTCTAAATCTCCAAAATAATACCTTCGTGGCGACATGTGACAACACAAACAATATGTAATGGTCCTTATTTTTTATTCCACAGAACCAGGAAAATTAATGCATAGATTCCCGCAGCTCAAAACGACACACGGAAACCAGACAACCTAGAACATATCACATTGTTTTCTGATACGTGCCTTTCTCTATATACCTTTCACTCTTCGACCAGTTTGGTCCCCGAATGAATAATGAAAAAACTGTCTCATTGAGTAAATCAATGGGTCCCCACCATACCACCACTCATGCGTGCTTGAACTGGTTCAACCACAATCACATTATTATTTCAGAAGAAACCTAAAACCTTATAATGATAATGTAAGAACCATAAGATGGTGTAGCCACATCTTGTGGAAGGTCTGGTCCCAAACCATATCGCTGAGTTGATACGTATGATCCAAAGAAATGATGACACAGAAGAGACCTGTGCATGAACAAATGTAGAAGCTGCATAGTAGGTTTTAGGTGTTGTTGTTGGGTGGTTATTTCTTTAGGTTCCATTCAAAGAATTAAGACTCTGGTCCTGTCGGTCGTTTTCCTGGACCCACCTAGCCAACCCCACTACGCCGAAACTGGTCAATTTATTCACATGTGGCTGGCTCACTTAATAATGATCCCTTTGAAAGAGATTTCCAAGTGTGTTTGTGAATGTGTGCGTTTTTATTATTTTGAAATGACGAAATTAACATGTCATATTTGACATGAGTTGGGTCATTCACATGTTAACCTAATAACCCTGTAGTTCTCTAGTCGAGTTATATAGACGAACTGGCCTCTTATAAGAATTTGCTGATAATAGCACCATCATCAATACTGTCTTATGTTGTTTGTACAGGAGACAAACAATCAAATAATATACTTTTTCAATATCAGAACTACACAATTAATTTGTAAATATTAAAAAAATTAATTAAATTAGCTATTTGTAACAAATAAGTATTATTGCTGTTGTTAATCATAAATTTTTTAATGTGTATAATCATCACGGGGGACTATTTTAAAGAAAAAAATAAATATGAAAGATAAACTAGATTGGAATTTTATATTTAGAACCAAATTAAATTTTCAGCAAACTCTTTTGTTTACAACCAGAGCTGATTTATTAAAAAATTAGTTAAGATCAGTTAAATATAATAAATATGTAACAATTACAATTTATTTTTCTTTTAAACTCCTTAAACAGGCCGCATAGGAACTAAACCAATAAGTTTAATTACATAATAAAACGAATGATTAATTAGTGCTGCTCAAAGTATCACATATGAATCATTTTATTATACAATTAATAATTCCAATATGAATACAATAAATTTTAAAAAATTGAATTATTTATAATAGTTCGATCAATAATACTTTCTAATTGAGTGCTAGATTCTAAATTTTTCTTTAAATTGTTAAAGTGAAAATATCAAATCATTAATGCAATAGTAACAAAACTACATAAAATGCTAAAAACACGTGGCTTGGTCACCGACTGTTAGCTTTGTGCATCAATAGCTCAATGCATGAAACTGAAGAATTTTACAGTGTTTCTTCCCCCCCCCCCCCACCAATACAGTGTTTGGTTGAAAGACAGTTTGATGCTGAGATAATATTTTAAAATTTGCATATGTTCTATCACCAACTCATTAAAAAAAGACAGAAAGTAATCATGCATGACTGGTCATTTTAATAATAACAATGAGAATGAAAGAAAATTTTTAATCATTTAATTATATTTGTTGATGATATTTTAATTTGCTGTTTAACTTGGAATATGAGCTCTTCTAGTGTGGCATGCGGCTATTTTCTTCGTGTTCGAATTTCTATATGCACATATATCTATGCAATGGCCAGAAGATTTCAATATATGTTTATAAAAACAAATTAGACATTGTTCAATTCTTTAGTACTCTTCTGGTCCTTAATATAGGACCTAATTATTAAGTTAGTTTTGGTTCTAAATATAAGATTTATTTTTCATATTTATTAATTTTTTCTAAATTACTCTTATGGTTACTCCCTCAACCATAATCAA